GTGGGACATCTGTATAATATTTCCCACATGAATATTGTACTACAAGTTTATTTTCTTCTCAATCATATTGTAGGAGTACCTTAAATTCTGCTAAGATTTAAAGAATATTGCTTAATATATTTTTTCTTATCGAAGTAAAATACCCTACTAGATATTTTTAGGTAGATTCTTAAAAGAAAACCTGCCTACCTAGCAGTAGTGTTGCCCAATGCAAGACTAAGGCGAGGCTAACCCAGTCTTGGTCTTGGTCTTGCTGCAAGAGTTTCGCAAGTCTTGCGACCCATTGCTACTTATTAGATATGCAATATGACGCCGATTTTCGTAAATAGCAGGTTATCGTAATGTTTGACGGTGTCGTGAAAAGCCATGAATAACAACTAATAAACAACAAACTTTAAACAATTCAAAAGATGAGTGAAGAGAGCGTAAAAACCTTTTACGTATTTGCACAAAATTAAGTTAAATTTATGTTCAGTCAATGGCAGGTCAACCTAATCAAAATTGATACATTTATTCAATTGATATTGAACTCTAGGGTTTGGCTTCAAGTTGAATCCGTTGATCAAATTTTACATTTTGGTATAACCTGTTGTCTGTATGTTAGCGAGGCATGGAGAATTAAATTTATATGGCATAAAAAATGTAAAAATAAAAAGATTTGTACACGTGTAAAACTGTGTCATATTTTACAAAATAAGTAAAATTGATGAATGTTACTTAGTTTTGTTTAGTTTTATGGGCACCATTACTGGGTGAAGTATTATTTTGTCTATTTGTTACAATCTGTATAGTTAATGTATATACAGTCCAATATAAGAGTACCTATCATAATATGCTTATTATTATTACGAATGCAATTAATAATAACAATATACCTAACCTCACTTAGCCAAATCCTTGCGAGGGCTAACTAAGGTGTTCGGCTATGCTTCGAGCGCCTCTGAACCAATTTTATTTTTTGGAACACATTTTAGGCGGCAAAGATGCCGCGACACATGCCGCACCGTATTATAAGAAAGAGGTGTCTTTTTCGGCAAATTAACTAGTGTTAGGCATTATATATATATGTATATGTGTGTGTGCCGTAGTGTACTTTGGAATATAAAGTTTTATAATATTTTTCCTAATGCCATTGTAAATTGTTCAAATAAAAAAAATGTTTTTAAGCGAATCCATCTCTTGTTACGACTTGCAAAATGCCTATTTCTTTAAATTCAGTCATTTTTGCATAATATACATTTACGTCAATGTGCTAGAGTAAAGGCTGGCTCACGAATGCTGAACTTCTATAATATTGCTATTTCGAATTTAGTAAAGGGCGGGTGAAACTTTTTATGTTAATTAAAAAAAAACACCCTCGACATATAAAGGTTTTCATTTTGTTGAGATATCGAATTTTGCATAAACCATTGTTTTTTAATTACTAGACGCAAGTTAAATAACTAAAGTAAATAATAAATTTTCGTAATACTTACTTAATTATAAATCTTTTGATAAATAATAGTTCTCTAAACTTTGCAAAATAAAGGAGCATTGATGAGAATAATCAAAAATTTTGAACTCCTCACTATCTGGAAATTGTCATTCTGTGCTTTAGCATAAATAGGCATAGCACCAGCCAAATAAGATATCACTGAATGACGGCAAATAAAAATAAGTATTGCTTCTCTTTCAAGCTACATAAAGCATTGAATCGCATAAAAGAGACAGAGCATGATATTGACTGCAAACCACAGTTTTAAAATTCGTAAAACTCTGCTGCAAACGTTGTTTTTCTATATCCAATCAGATATAGAAAACACGCCCTTATTTATTCAAACACGGCCTTATTTATTCAAACACGGCCTTATTTATT